CTATTTCAGGGACGGTAATAGTTATAAGTAAAATAATTTAAATAAACATTTAATCATTATTTTATGATTTTTATTTTCCATCTCAAATAATGGTTATTTTATGATTCTTATTTTTTCGCTCAGAGATAATCATTATTTTTGAGTTTTATTTGTCCTCTTAAAAATAATGAGTATTTATAAAGTTGAAAAGGCCAAAAAGACGCAAAGTATCAATAATTACTTTTGAGTGAAAAATTAAAACTCAAATATTAATTATNGGGTATAGTTAAAATTGTTTTACGACGATTTCAACTTGTTGATTTTTATGGTTAAAATTTCAAATATATTGAATATTTCCTGTCCCTGCCTTGTTTACATTAAATGCAGGCCCTTTTTTGTTCTTTGGCCCCTCCAACGCAAGTGCGGTATATGTACTCGTAGTATGGCCCAATTGCTGCTTCCTATACTCGTTGTGTATTCGGACCAACAAACGAGCTTTCCCGCCAAGATTTGGAAAGAATTTTATGTCCAATATAAATTCATCACTGCAGCGTAAGTTTTAAATAATGCCCTTAAAATGGCTTAAGAAACTTTATCGAAATGTGAAAATGAAATTGTATTCGGAAATTTTTGCATGCAATGTTCTTTGACAGTGCTCATTGTTTGAGTTATAGCGCAAAATAGTAGCATAGTCGATCTTACGGAGTACGGGAGTATGAATGACAAAATAGTAGTAAAAAGCTCCTATCGTACTACTTTCGGCAGCACTGGTTTGCTTAGATCAGTTCTAGAGCATACTGTAACCTAGTAAGAGTATTGTGGAATAACAAAGTTATTCAGCTCATTGTGGCACAGTTTAAATCAGAAAAAAGTTTAATGAAATAATAGAACAAATTCTATTTAGTATTGTGGAACGCTTGTTCAGGAGTGCTACCGTGGTGGTCTGCAATTTTATTGTTCAAATAAAAAAATTTCAAATACCAATTCAAATAATTAAAAGCAATTTAATTAATGGGAGAGAAAGCTGAATTAAAACAATGGCTTATTTTAAACAGAACTTAAATTTGCAATAAAAAATGCATACCAACCCTATCTTCCACACTGATCACTTGTCTGTCGTTTCAATTAAAAACAACGACATCAGATATTTGGTAGGATAAGGAAGCCACAACCAAAATAAAACCTTGCATAAGCGAATACATAAATCGTAGCCGTATTCGGTGCATTGCTAAAAGAACTGACTTAAAACAAGTCACAAAATGATAATACCAATAAACTGCTTCCACGATTAAAAATAACGAAATTGCTGATATAAATGGTACCGAATGGAAATTAACAGAACACGGCAGTCAGCAGAACTTCCGAAATGTTTGTTAAGCCATTCTGACAAATTTAATTGCAAAATGCGCCGAATCGAAAGCTGCATGTCAAATTGTCAACAAGCCATCAGTAAATATGTATATCCGTATGTATCATACACTTTTGTATATACGCAGGTATGCAAGTAAATAAATAATATGGGTGTATGCATATCAGCGCAATCGACAACTAAATAACCAATAGTGGACTGCTGAAGCTTGTTCGAGTTGTTGTTGAAATAACAGCTCTTGAATGCAAATAAACTAATAAGTACACAGATACACATATGCATGTGTGGATTTGTAATTATGCATAGGTACTTATGTGTTTACTTAGCCTCTGTGCGGGCGGTAAACTGAGCTGAATTGGAAACTAGTTTAACATATCCACACACACGAACGTGTTAACGAGTGCTTAAGTACCTAAGTACGCACACATGCTGGCCTGTATTTAAGTGTCTATCGCTGATCGTGGTTGCGGCTAATTAAAAATCATTTGTTTGCCACACTGCTGCTGCACTTACTTAGTATAATTCCAGTGAATACTCGCGCGAGCGCACCTCAACTTTTTACAATTAAAATCGGTGAATACATACACATATCATATCTACATTTGCAAGAGTTCGATCAAGAAAAGAAATTGAAAAAATGGGTTACATACATTGTTTTTTAATAAAAACAAACCAAAATCCTCCCGGTCGGAACTAAATAAGTAGGCAGTTCCGAAAATTAGATAAATAAAACAGAGTTGGACAATGGACTTTTTTGACTTGTTCCAAGAACATCGCCATGTTAACAGAAGAAGCCCAAGAAAAAGGAAATAATTTCAACAACCTGTAGTTAATAAAATGCCTTTAAAGCTATTGATTTTCCTACAGGGTATTTCTACATTCCTACATACATATGTACATAAGTAAAGCAAAAACATTATATCATTTGCAAATCACTTCAGTACTGTTACTATTGTATATAAGGACGAATAATGATTGTGAGTAAGCTACAAGAAATGGTGTAAAAAATGGCGTTAATGACTTGATTGGCATTTATGAGGTGTCAATATAAATACGTGGGCGGCAGCCCTGGACAGACAAAAATAAAAGGGGCTAGTGTTACAATCTTTATTGTATGTACATATGTATGTAGAAAAGTCTTGTACTACGTAGTTAGACAGGGCATCCGAGGCTTCGCTGTGATTTACATACTTATGTGAACATTATTGTTAATTTTTACGTATATATATGACAAAAACGAAGCCACGTTACAACTTACAGAGTCCGTACTAATAGGAAAATTAAATCCATGCATGCTATTCATTTATGAAAACTGATTTCAAATATAAACTGTTATTAAATACCAAAAAGAAAAAAAATACGGAACTCGGAAAACTTCTTGCCGTCTAAAGTGATTTTTTGATTGGAAAATTTGAGTTTAGCATTTTCACCAATGATGACAATAATAATTTGATCATTTATTTATGCTCATGATGATTTTGTGGTCATTAGGAGACGTACAAACACATCTTCCAATGCCATCTTGCAGAACTGGCACCGAAACTACGTGAGACCTCTCTTCACGGAAGAAACGGCTGCATGGCATTTAGATGGAATGTGGCACTCGGATCGCTTATAACTATGATTAACATTTGGAATATTTTTTGATTTTTGAAATTAAATTTTGGGCATTTTAATGCCATGCGGGTTAACTAGTTATTTCTGTTTCCTGAAAAGGTGCGTTGATTTTGCTGTATATTTTATTGAAGAAATAAATATATCGAGCCCTAACCGCCGAAAATACAAAGCGAAGTTTCTTTGAAAATATTTTTTTTTTTTATGAAGAAATGTTCATAGAGTATCAAGATGCATTTTTGCATAAAAAAAAATTAGAAAAAAACTTCGCTTATCTACATACGTGTTTTTGTCGGTTAGGGCTCGATATATACGATCATTTTTTGAGAGCTTCAAGCTGATTTAAGAAATTTTAATAGAAGAAAATACTTTTTTTAATTTCTTGTGCGTCATTCTATATGAATTTTTGAGTTTTTCTTGAGAGCTGCA